TGCCGTATTATTCTTTGGAATGGCTATTGAACATGTAAAATATGTCTTGAATTTTATGTTCTCGGTCCGGTTCAACACCTAACCCGACATATATTTTTGTGTGACCCGAAAATTGAAATTTAGTTTGTGACGCGGAGAGTTGGGCCGATAGGCCCAACTCGTAACAAGTGAACAAATCTCTATGGTGGTCCGCTCGAGCTGAAGCAAGCGAACCAATGTCTCGGGGGGTTCAGGGGCGTAGCCCCCGAGAAAAAATTTCGGGAGCACTATTTATACTGCGGCTAGGTTTTCTCATTGACGAAGAGAGAGAGAGAATTTTATTTTCAGAGAGTTTTGTAAGCCGTGAGCTTTTGTCGTTGTTTTCGACTTCTGAAAACTGTACTTTCTTTGATTATAGTGGAATCTTGTCTTGCCTCGCCCGTGGACGTAGATCACCTCATGATCGAACCACGTAAATCCCTGTGTTCTGTTTTTGCTTTTCTGCGTTTGCTACAATAGAACAAGGGCTAGTCTGGTGTGAACAACCCACCAGGTACCGCACGGGCTATTCCGCGACCAAGTAACTGCCGGCCCGTGACACGTGTGAATGGCCTCAATGATGTAATCATCCAAGTCAGCATCATATCTTACCACATAATCGAGTTGATGGAAGGTTTATAAAGTTTGATTTTTTACTTTAGACTATTATTATAAATTTTGGGGACATTTACACTGCATTGACTTTTAATTAACGCAATGGATTTAAAATCTTTCGAAAAATATTCTTAACTTATAAGTAGTTTATATTCGACCATAAGCAGTTTGATTCAACTTTGTGCAGAAATCCCCAAGTGAATGCTTGGTTTTTGAAGCATTGAGGTTTCTTTTCAAGAGAAAAGTAACGATAAGGATATCGTTAAAGATTGCCCCGAGAGAATTTGATTAGAAGCACCTACTACGTTTCGAAACATGTTGTTATATACAACATTGTGCGGAAAAGAGAATATATTTCAATATTCACTATTCGTTAATGCCCATTTAGTATTGTACTTCGTATTTTTAGGTTGTGTTTGTATACCCATTTTGGTGGCATACTTTTAATGCAAGCATATGAGTTGTTGGTAGCTGCTTAACTACATGTAGGTTTTGTCAAATGAAATTTGATGAAGATAAATTAAGGATATATTTGTTTCGTAGAAAATTAATAATTTGGAAAATATTTTCTCAATAATGATCGCTTGTGTTTGGCTCGAAATAATTAGTCAGTCAAAAATATTTTTATAATTAACAACAATTCATATCTAAATATTTTCATGAACGATAAAAATATTTTTCGTTCAAATTTGACCTGTTCGAGAAAATCGGTTTGCGAGCATGTTAAAAGAGATGTTGACAAAAACCGACCTGTCTTTTCAATAATTGTTCATTTACATTATTCTCTTCACCACCAATGCATTTTCATCTCAATTTAGAGGTATTTTAAACATCCGGCCGACAAATCGAACGGGCCAAGCGAAATTGGAACGAGTAAAACTAGTCATTTGCCAAAAAGGAACAGATTTTGCTCGACACCAACATAGCCGAGAGGATTCGGAAACCATTCTTAGACATCTACAAAAAAAAATTTCCTTTTCTGTTCTCTTTTTTTTTTTTTGGTCATGCTTTTTCCACTTCTCTTTTGGCTTAAACACTCCAATTTGTTGTGTTTTGACCATACTATCCCTTGTGTGGCCTCTACCACTCCTAATACAACTCCACAAAAGTGGTCTTTTTTTTGTTTGGTCAACTCTTTTTATTGCAGGACAAAAAAAGAAACTCTTATCTTTTATTTCTTCTGTTTTTTTCTTTACGGGTTCCACTTTCCTTCTTCTTTCTTTCCACGCCTTTGACTGAACCACTGTTTCGCCGGTTTTATCCCGTCGAAAATCTTTCACCGAACGTTGCATTTCGGATTTTATTAGAGGAGACTAGGGTCTTGAGTCAAGCTCGGACAGAGAATGTCAAATGCGTTTATCAAGTCCAACTTACAACTTGACTGAACAATATACCAAACTCGATAATACTAACAATGGGATGACAACTTGCAAATACCGAGACCAAGCTATGTCGGAATCTAATCAACGACACAACTAATACGCGGTATTACCATTCAAGGTACGCCAGAATCTAATCAATGACGTAACTTGAGAGAATATAACTGGAATCTAATCAATAGCTATATTCCAAGCACAATGCCGAAATTTAATCGACGACGCTGAACTAATGGCACAACATTGGAATTTAATCAACAATGTTGAACCTGATAAAGACTCTTGCCGGAATTGAATCTACAACGTAGAATCTGAAAATTACAGCTAAAACTACTCCTAATGCGCTAAAAGTAAAGCTAGATAAAAGATATGTTGTATTGTTTGCGAAAAGGTCCTTTCTACGTTGGAAATCCTTGAGTATTTATAGAGCAGCTTGATAACTGTTGACTGAACACTTATCCTTGAAAGTAATTTTTCCACTTCCTTACGTTTCGTACTTTAACTGTTTCCTGACTTGTCGACATTGCTTACGCTCCTTGGGCATCACGTAATAGCTAATTTTCTTCCACGTGTCTCTTTATTTTTTGTCATTCTTCACGCCCACGGTCATATTTTTACCTTTTGACACGTGTAAATGAATTTTTCGCCACGTATTACCATGATTCTGTGCAAAGCTCGTGATTTTGAACTTTGTCGACGTCACGTACAAAGCTCGTGATCTTGGATTCGTCGACGTCACGTGCAAAGCTCGTGATTTTGAACTTTGTCGACGTCACGTGCAAAGCTCGTGATCTTGAACTCGTCGATGTCACGTGCAAGGCTCGTGATTTAAAACTTGTTGACACCTCTATGACGTGTCCTGTCGATAATTACCTTAGGTCTTCTTAATACCTCTGGGCCTAACTTGCGGCTTTTTTCGGAGATTTTCGCCAGGTGGGCCGTACTTTATATTTTCTGTAACTTGTGAACGGCCCACTCCCACCATGGGTAATTTTGGGTGTCAACAACCACGTCTCTATGTTTTCTCTCTTGTAGGCCATTCTCTTCTTTTTACGCCTCCCTACTCAAGTTGTACGGCATTGAAACGCATTCACATTAATAAAGATCGAAAACAAGGTAAACATATATTTGCAACACTAACACCAAAACACAGTTGCTGAGGATTTAAATCAGTAATCATAATAAGGTTTCTGATAAGGCAATGAGTGCTTTTATCACCATTGAATCAGGTATGATGTCACATTCACATGTTGAATGAAGTTTTCCAGCTCTAAACTTGAAAGCTAGCGTATATTCAACATTGTTATGTTGAAGCCAATTTCTGCTTTACCCAATGATATTTGTGTCTAGCTCAATTTGCGACTCTCTTCAACGATGTGAAGTTTTCTTTTTGACCTTCTGACGGCATCTTGTACATGAGTTGAGATGAATCAGTGCATTCTGTTCGTTCAGGAAGGAAAGGCCAGAGTGTTGCATGTGTAAAGGCTTATGTTTTCTGAGTACCATATTTCATTGGACAAAAGCCACACAATTGACTCGGAAAATTATTAGTCGATTGTCATTAGCAACTGTGTATTGGTGTTGGAGTTTCCAATGCATGTTTACGTTGTCTTTGTAATTTCGATCTTTATTAGAGTGAATGTAAGCCAACCTTCTATCAATGCCCTGCAACTGGAGGAGTAGGCAGGCATAGAAAAAGGAGTTGCCTGCAAGAGAGAAAACATAGAGACGTTTTGCAAGAGACGAGAACCAACACATCAAAGGCGCGGAAAGAAAGAAGAAGAAAGAAAGTGAAACCCGCAAAGTTAAAAAGAAGAAACAAAATAAAACGAGTTTTTTTAACCAACAAAAACGGTGGGCTACACAAGGATAGTATGGTTAAAATACAAAAAGAATAAGCCTACGTTTGGTCGTCCGGATAAAATTCAGAATATGATATGTTTTATCCTATCCGATGTTTGGTAGATGTTTAGGATGGGATAACGTCGGATATAGATGGGATATAGACCGGATAAAAAATCTTAGGGGGGAGGTGGGATAGACTCGGATAGGATTTCTCTTGTCTAGCTATTTTTTAGAAAATCCTACACTCTCCTTTTCCTTTTCCTTCGTTCGCATGACTCCTCTCACATCGACATTTCACGAAAACCCTACGCTCTCCTTTTTCTTATCCTATCCTACTTAATCATATCCTAACTAGAAATCCGGACGACCAAACGCAGCATTATAAGTGTCTAAGCCAAACGAAGAATAGAAAAAGCACGGCCTTTTTTTTCCTAATATTTCGAGGAAAACAAACATCAGCAATGGCGTAAAAAAAATACCCATCTTTCAATTTCGGACACTGCCTAGAAAAAGGAGGGCCGGGTGCGAGTAACCCTTTCCGTCTTGGGTTGACTGTGGCCCGAGAGCAAAAAAACGCACAGAGAGGGAACATCGATATGAACCGAAGGCCCCTAAATTTGATTCGAGAGGGCTTCTCCAAACCTTATCGGACTTTTCTTATATTGTGATCACCAGAACATCCATGTTACACCCGATGATGCGCGAAATCGACCCTTCATCGCGCATCGAATCGCCCCACACACGTCTGCGAAGGACTCGTAACAGCAATTTTTCCCCCCAACTCCTGTGTTGATAGCTCGATCACATCACCACCAACCACTGCATTCTGCATCACGCCAGTGCAGTGCACGACCTCTTGGCGATTGATTTGTCAAGGCCGGCTTGGCTCTTGGAGAAACTCTCAATCAGCAAGAGTCCGACAAGGGTGACGGTCAAATGGGGGCCAAAAAAGAGGAACTTGCCGCGTGAGTTCGAGCTTGACTAAGTAAAGTTCCATGCACACGCTTCGCCACTGACGACAATGGATGCACCGCGTAAATTCCAAGAGTCCAAGTCAACTATCGATTTAGACAAGCCGAGGAAGGAGGTTCATGCGATGCGTCCGTAGCGCTTGTCGATGGACATTGGTTTCTTCGCTTTTCTCTCTCGCTCGGACAGGCCTGGATGAGAATAAACGACGAGAGAGAGAGAGAGAGAGCGCGCGCTTGTCAAACACCAGCACATCCTCCATGCGGTCTTCCAAGCCATCCCTCTTCCTCCTCCTCCTCCTCCTCTGCTTCGCCCATGGCACCGCCGTCCTCGCCGCGCCGGCCAAGGACCGTTGCGCCCCCGAAAGGTGCCCCCGCCACGGGCCGCTGGTCCAGTTCCCGTTCCTGCTCAGAGGAAGCCAACAACCTGACGACTGCGGCTATCTTCCGGACTTCAACCTGTTCTGCGGCCGGGATGGGCACACTCAGCTCTTGCTCCGAGACACCTCGCGACCGCTCTTCGTCAAGTCCATCGATTACGACAACCGGTCCATCGTCGTGCAGGACCCCAACCGGTGCCTCCCCTTCCTGCTGGCGAACCTCAACCACACTCGCTTCTCGTACGACATGAGCCAACGCGGCCAGTATGCGTACCCGCCCTACAACTATACCCTGTTCCAGTGCCCGCCGCCGGCCAAGAGGAACAGCATGGCCCTGGTGGATTGCCTGAGCCAAGCCGGGTTGTACGACGTCTACGCCGTCGAATCCGACTCCTACGTCGGAGACTTGCCGCTGGTGTCCTGCGAAAGGAACGGGAGCATAGACTCGCTTCCTATGCCGATCGAGGACATGATGGGCGAGGCTAAATTGGTCTGGGACAAGCCGGACTGCTGGAACTGCACGATATCCGGGTTGTGGTGTCGACGGAACGGGACCGACGTCAGCTGCACCAAGCCTCATGATGGACACAAAGGTATTGCTTCAATCCTAGTCGCATGCGTTTATCGGTTCCGAAACTTCTTTTTGCATCATGGTACTTTGCTTGACTCTGTGTTATTTCACTTTCTTAGTTTAAGTGTTTGTTAATCCTCGAGTTCTTTTATTTAGGCCATTCGTTCCAAAGCCTTTTAAGGTCTGGTGATGGATATAGAAAGGTTGCTTTCTGACTTATGGTTGTTGAGATTCATCAAGTTTCTCTTTAGTAAAGATAAGATCCATGGAGCGCAGAGGAAGGGGAATCATAGTTTCTACACAAGAAATAGGGCTTCTGCGAAACTAAGATTACTTTTATATGTGCAGTTCTGTCGGGTGGATTCATTTCCACGAGTTTGTCTTGTTTCAGATGATACTTTCTGTTCTTTAAATTGAATGGAGTTCTGAATCCTGATTGCCAGTTACTATAGAAATTATCTGATGCCCTGAAGTGAAGGTCACTCACGGTGTTAAGTAAAAGCTGATATAACTAGTTTTGAGGGCTTTCCTTCTAGTTTTTTTGTCATTCATACGAACATCGGCGGAAGCTCAAGTACTGACCTCTCTGATCCTGCAGAAAGAAGGTTAGAGATCGGAGGTGTCCTGGGCACGTTTTTCCTTCTTGCTGGATTGATTGGACTCGGCTATGTCCTCAACGAAAAAAGAAGAGATAAAGCATTCCGACTCAAGATCGAGAGCTTCTTGCATGACTACGAGGCCCTCAAGCCGACCCGTTACTCCTACAACGACATCAAGAGGATAACCAATGACTTCGAGGAGAAACTAGGCCAGGGGGCTTACGGAACGGTCTACAAAGGGAAGCTTTCGAACGAGATTTTCGTCGCTGTAAAGATGCTGGACAATGCGTTCGGAAATGGAGAGGAGTTCATCAACGAAGTGAGCACTATGGGAAGGATTCACCACGTCAACGTGGTTCGGATGGTTGGTTTCTGCGCGGATGGGTTCCGAAGAGCCTTGGTGTACGAGTTCCTGCCGAACGAGTCTCTGGAGAAGTTCATATTTCCGGGGGAAGATGCTCTCGACCCTTCCCTTAGTTGGGAGAGGCTCCACGACATCGCTCTCGGAGTGGCCAAAGGCATAGAGTATCTTCACCAGGGGTGCGATCATAGGATCCTCCATTTCGACATCAAGCCGCACAACATCTTGCTGGATAACAACTTCAATCCTAAGATTGCGGATTTCGGCCTGGCAAAGTTATGTTCCAAGGAAAAAAGCGCTGTGTCCATGACCGCGGCCAGAGGTACCATGGGCTACATAGCTCCCGAAGTCTTCTCCAGGAACTTTGGAAGCGTGTCCTCTAAGTCGGACGTGTACAGCTTCGGAATGCTGCTGCTCGAAATGGTCGGGGGCAGGAAAAATGTCGACGTGAACGCGAAGAACATGAGCCAGATGTACTTCCCGCAGTGGGTCTATAACCATCTGCATAAGGGTGAAGAGCTTGAAATACGAATCCGAGAAGACGGCGACCCCAAGATTGCCAGGAAACTGGCGATCATCGGGCTCTGGTGCATTCACTGGTACCCAGCCGATCGGCCTCCCATGAAAGCAGTGGTTCAGATGCTGGAGGGAGAAGAGTGCCCCGTCATGCCGAAAAATCCTTTCGTTTCCTCAAGTTCAGGGGAAGCTGCAACCATGCAGGGAAGACTCTGGAACACGAATCTAGAAGTTATCGCAGAATAAGTTTGAGTGCCCTCGCAGCATGTCATCTCTCCATGACTGAAATCGATGTCATACTGTTAAAAAGTAAGTTGAGCCGTGATCAAGAAGCCATACGTTAAATGTAGTAACTCTATACCGTGAAATAGCCTGAAAACTATTGATGCGCTCCGTCTACTTACCTGTTGAATCAGATGCAATATGGATAGAGGAATTCCTTTCCTCTTATATTCCTTACTAGGCTAGTTGTTATGTAATACAAGAATCTATGTACTTACTGGAAGTTTGTAAGATAGTAAGTAATTGGATTTGATTGCCCGATGGAAATGCAGTCCGTTCTGGTGTGCATTTGATGTCCTGAATTTCGGGAAATATAGCAGCAGTTGGTTTTTGGGACAAGAATTGTGCTTTTTGTCTGCTTGGGGAGTTGAAAATATCTAGATCTAGATTCAGCAATTTAAGAAGGAATGAGAGTACTACTGCTAGGAAAAATGGCCCTTCTCATGAGGATGATAAGTTCAAAAATTGATAATAAATTGAAGACAAACGTATTTGCAGAAGCGCTGAATGAGTAAAGGGTTATGTTTTCGAGGTCGATTTAATCGCAATTTGAAATGACATCGGTTCAAAGCTTCTTGGAAGAGATTGCATCAATGAACTAGGGTGGCACGAGGGCTTCATTGACGGAGGGAATTCTTACTGAAGAGTAGCAATTCAGCGGATGAATTTGGTTACTGAATTGTACTGTAATCGAACAACTTTATGGTATCGAAGTATCTACTTGTGTCCTTTGAGAAAACACTACAAGACATTCATCTCATCCTCGTGCATTTGGTCGAGCTCTTCATCTTTTCCTTTCAATTCAAGCCAAGTCGAACTAGTTTGTCTGGTTTTTCTGACACCCTTGAGCTCTTTCAGCTAAAAACAAAAAGACTCTTTTGACTGTCAAGTGGCTTCTAGTTTTATACACAAAACTTCAAGCACCAGAGAAACAGGAACACAACATGAAGCACGCTGTCATGGCTGGGGCGGTGAGTTCCGGCAAACCGGGCAAGTAGCATTCAGGCGAAGCCACTCGTCGATGCAATCCACATGGAAGCAATGGTTGCATTGTGGTATGGTTTTGAGGGTCTCTTTGGGCTGATAGTCTGACAGGCAAATGGGACAAGTGCTGTCGTCAAGCTTCGGAAGTCGCTTGCTCTCTCCTAGGACGATTTTAGGGTAAGATTCGATGACCACCACATCGAGGCCCGGAACGTGGGCGGAATGCGGCACGACCGCCGTGGCGAATTCCCCGATGACGGGGCGGCGCCCTCTCGCATAGGACTTCACTCTGCCGCAGAGGAAGCAAAGCAAGCCCAGGAGGAACAGAATCGCGGGGAGCCCGACCCCAACAATGATTGCGTAGCGGGCGGCTCTCGGAATCCCTGAAAGTATGTAAGCCTGTCATATCTTTAAGTTCAAGATTATTTGCTTAATCAAACAGATAAGATGGTTAGCGATATACCAATACCATATCATATGCATTCGGTCTTCGTTCATGCATACCACAAACCTATTTCAAATCAAGTGGATCGATGGGTAGGCCCAGCTGTTTATATACCAATGACCTAAAGTAGGTCTGAACGAAATCAATCTCGAGCCAGTGTCAAAGTCAACCAGAAGCTGAAACCTCAAGTTACGGCACGAGGGGGGAGGGGGGAGGGGGCGAGGGGTGGGTGGCGGGCGGGGAAAGAAAAAGAGAGGAAGCCACTTGGAAAGCGAAAGCAAAAGCAAAAGATGGATTTTGCATCTTTTGATTGGTCCACTTTTGGCTCTTTGTATTTACTTCAGTCAACGCTTATCCTGATCAAGAATTGCCGCATTCCATTCATGCCCTCACGAGACCAAAAAGAAACAAAAGCACAAAAAAGAAATCTTGACCACTTGTGGTCATGAAGGTACCACAAAAGAGATGGCTTCAAAGCCAACGTTAGATGAGCTGCATTGACTTTAATTAAGGTAGCACCACCGTTAATGTTGCTTTCCTATCATGATCATCATAATCACACCATCCCCCCACCATTGTTAATTCCCGCCGTGATGATTACCACTCATTACGTAGTTTGAATGTTGATATTAGCAGCGTTACATCGTTTCTCGGCCGATGATTTGGGAACAGTTGGAATGGCTCCTTACTCAATGATTCTAAAGATAATCTACACGGCGGATTGTAGAAAAGGCCACTAATGTAGTCAAAATATTACCATGCATCGACCTTTTAGTATTTTATCTCGTAAAAATAACTCGATATCTCTATTAAGTTTCATGTGCTAGATTAAGTCTGCATTTTTTAATTCGATGGAAGATGTGGCTTATCCCGCCTCTGGTTGATGGGTCTCAAAAAATAAACACTACTTATATTTGAGCATTTGTGCAGTTTATCTTGAAGTAATTCTTGGGAAGAATTCTTCAGACTGTTTTATCAATCGTTGATGGCTATCTTATTTGGAGGTATGCAATGCATGGTTGGCCAATTGGCAGACCGTTGAACAATCTTTTGTACCGATACAAGATCTTTTACTCTCCCCTGACCTGGACAAGAAGCTTGAAGTCTCGAGTTTATCCCTCAGAAGTCTTATACTGTTGTAATCAATTCAAATTCTCCTTGTATTAAATTGCAGGATTATCAAGAAGATGACGAGATGGACCCAACATCTGCTTCAACGTTTCTAAACTCCCGAAAACTCACGTTTTGTGTTGACTCATTTAGTTTTTTCTGCAAGACCTGAAATAATCCACTGTAGTTGATCGTAGCATAGAGCCAAATTAATCTGATATAGCAGTACTTTATCCCCTGCTGACAGAGATTTTTCCGTTTGCTGGGCCTAAACTGCTGAGAGACATCAGAGAGACTGAAAACCAAAGAACCTGAACAGACCACTTCACTACACAAGCCTAAATCCTTACTTTTATCCATAAAGTACTATATATGTAGCTAGATGTTCGTTGGAACGAGGTTATTTGATTCTTTTTCTTCCCCTAATTCTGAGAGTTCTCACATGTTCGAAATTTGCTGTATTACCTTCATGCTCGCGTTACCAGGATGATATGCAAGATAGATGAACATACTCAAACTCACGTGCACATACTCAAAAAAGAAGTCTGTGTAGACTGAACAGAAAGATCATTCTTACCACGCTGGGGGATATTGGTGCACTCGATCTCAGTGGTGGAATTGCCCTTGAGCCCGCACCTCCCGCCCCGAACCACACACCTTCCACACCGCGGCACCCCCCACTGGAGCCGGAGATCGTCATTGAGGTCCGACGAGTTGACCTGCTCATAGAACGACCATTCGACGGGGACTGGGACGGTCTTCACAGGTGTGCATGAGGAGGAGAGGGTGCTTGCCATTCCAGGTGAGGAGGTTGCAAAGACCGTGTAGTTGGAATCGCTGAGGCAGGCAATCGGGTTCAGGCCGTACTTGATGTAGCTGGAGGAGCAGTTAAAGAAGGTGTAGTCCTGGGAATAGACACTAGCGAAGGGCGAGCCGTGGAGGTTGAGGGAGAGAAGCCTCTTGGGGAGGCAACCCTCAGGGTCATTCACCCATAGCTCTTGCTCAGCATAGTCTATGCTTCGGAGGGTGAATTGGCCTGAGTTGGGCAACTCTAGTATGGTTTGGTTCATCCCGTCGCACGACAGGTCGAAGCCCGGGTACCCGCAAGATTCAGGCTGGCGGGTTCCGATCCGGAAGGGGAAACGGATCATGGGCTCATCACGGCGACAGAAGGCGGCGGCGCAGGTCTCGGCACTCGCTTCTGTGCATAACAAGATAAATAATAAGGTCACAAAGGGTGTGAGGATTTTCATTTGTATCTGGAGCAGTGAAAGCTTCAGAAAAGGAGGCAACAAGCCGGATAGATACTGGAGTTTATATTAATTTTTTCTGTGACTAATAAGAAGGGATGAAGAGGTCTTATATATCTGTACAAAAGGATCGAGTGAACTGGGGTATTAGATTGAAGAATCAGTCAAGGTTGATGTAAAAATTAGCATTATTGGATGAAGAAAGTCTTTGTTCATGGGCTCAGTCAACTCGTTGAATCAATAGGGGTCGTCGCAAAAAATGTGGGCTTGAAATTGCCCTTCTCTGATCTTTACTCGTTGAACCACTCCCTGCATAGATAGATACCCTGCATAAACGGTAATACAACTACCTGCGGAGCTTGCTTGAATAACGCCAGATACCTACCAACATCAGCTTACAAAATATACCGATAAGCTAGCTAATTCGCGACATGATTCCAATTGAATGTTGAATGTGAGTCGCTCGTCGTAATACATAGAATGACTCTTGAGACTTTCATTATTTCTTCCTTCTTATTTCGGTACTTTTTGGATGGTGCTATTTGTGCGCGTCTATGGAGATTATTCGAGCCGACAGCTTGTGTTAGAAGAAAGAGGACAGAAAAGCCTATGGAGCTTTCCTTTCTTTCTTCTTTTTGTGCATTTCAAAACGTAAGTTTCATGCAACCAACGATAACGATGGTTGATGTATGTTCTCCTTCGAACAAATGAGATGAGATTAGCTTTAAATGGCAACTGGAATACCTGCTCTGTAGTAACTATAACTTAGAACGCTTCCAATAAGAGCGACAGTGGGAATAATTAATAGCAAGTTGAAGAGTTCATTTTCATTTTTCGTTCTTTGTGGAGCTGACGTACCTCGGGCATTTATCATATAATCGTCCATTAATGGCTAGATTTACTTTTATATTCTAACATCAATAAGAAAACCAAAAAAAAATAGGCAAAGCGATGGCATTCTTTATGTTTGTATCAATTCAGTCCTAAACCTTTCGATTGTGACAATTGAGTCATAAACTTTTGAGAATTTGCCAATATAATCCATCGGGCCAATTTTGACCGGAAATCGCTAACATGGATGCCAACCGTCCTACGTGGCACGGCCGGTGCTGACAAGGATAATTTTTTTAATTTTTCTGAATGCTTTATCATTGTTTTATTTTCTTTTCTTTTTTTTTCTTTTTCTTATTTTCTTTCCTTTCTTTTTTTTTTTTCCAATTGTGGGCCAGCAAGGTCACCGGCCAACCCTCATTGGCCACAGGAGAGGGCCGTGACCCTCGCCTGTTGGTTGGCGAGGGCCTGGATCTAGGTGAGGGCCCGACGCCCTGCCTAGGGCTAGCGACACCCTCGCTCGTGGCCAGCCACAGTTAGGAAAAAGAAAAGAAAAAACACAAAAAAATAGTAAAAGTTGTCCATGTCAACGCTGGCCGTCCGACCGTGCCACGTAAGACAATCAGCGTCCATGTCAGTGATTTTCGATCAAAATTGGCCTGACAGACTACACTGGCAAATTGTCAAAAGGTTTAGAACTCAATTGACACAATTGAAAGGTTTGTGACTGAATTGGCACAAGTGCAATAAATTTAGAAACTTTCCGGTAATTTTCCCCTTGTTCTGATATGCAGGAACAAGATGAATGGAACGGAGTTTCTGCCGATTAGACGTAAGTTTTGCCGGTCAGATTGTATTGATAATGCAACCTGTTGACTTTTGAGAATTTCAGTATTTCTTCCTTTTTATTTCGATACTTTATGGATGGTGCTATTTATGCGCATCTATGGAAATTAGTCGAGCCGACGACCTGTGTTAAAAGAAAGAGGACAAAAGAGCCTAATGAAGCTTCTTTGCCTTATGGATGGTGCTATTTATGCGCATTTACGGAAATTAGTCGAGCCGACGGCCTGTGTTAAAAGAAAGAGGACAAAAGAGCCTATGAAGCTTCTTTGCCTTTTTTTGTGTGCATTTCAAAACGTAAGTTTCATGCACCCAACGATAACGACGGTTGATGTCCGTTCTCCTTTGAACAAATGGGATAAGGTTAGCTTTAAATGGCACTGGAATACCTCATCTATAGTGTTGGCGAACTGTGACTTGGAACGCTTCAAATAAGAGCGACAGTTGGGAATATTTAATAGCAGGTTGAAGAGTTCAATCATCATTTTATCTTTCTTCTTAGAGCCGTCGTACCTCAGGCATTCGTCATGTTGAAATCGTCCGTCATCGGCTAGATTTGCTTTGATATTCTAACATCAATTAAGAAAACAAATAAAAAAACCAAGAGAACTTCATGCCAGTTCGGATATGGAGGAACAAGATCAATTGAATGAAGTCCTTCCGGTTTGATTTGTTTAACGGTAACCATTCCTCGTTCAAGTCATGAATTTAGCCGGTCAAATCGTGTTGATAATGCAACATGTGTTGACTTTTGATTCCCCTTCGAGCATTTCCGTCGAACTTTTGTTTGCGCATGTTGCTCTGGATGCATCTCTTCGTGAGAAAAGGGACAAAGACATGGTGGAACCATCATCAGTTTGTAAAGGTGAACGGTGTGGGGGGAATTCTCGGAGAGGCACTAGAGTTTTGACAATTTCAAGGAAAGCATTAACCAATTCACACGCATTTGAGTCATTTTAGCCGATGTAAGCTATATGCATTTGACGGAAAAAGTGCCAAAAAAGTCCTAAATCTTTTGCATTTGTGCCAATTTAGTCCTAAACCTTTTGCATTGATGTCAATTTAGTCCTAAACCTTTTTTTGGTGCCAATTAAGTCCTAAACCTTTTAAACTGGTGCCAATTCAGTCCTAAACCTTTTATTTTTGTGCCAATTTAGTCCTTCCGGTCAATTTTGACCTGAATTTGCCGACGTGAACACCTACCGGCCGGTCACCGGCGCCGACGTGGACAACTTTAATAATATTTTAATTTTTTTTTTGAATTTTTTTTTCCTTTTTTTTCTTTTTTTTCCTTTTTTTTTGGGTTCCCCCCTCCTTCCTCTGGCCGGTCGCCGGTCCGGCGACCGGCCACTGGAGAGGGCGGCGGCCTCGCCCGGCAAGGGCGAGCCTCGCCTTGGTCGGGCGAGGCTCGACCTCGCCAAACCCGGCGAGGTTGGGCCTCGCCGCGGCCTCTGGCGAGGGCTCGAGCCTCGCCACAGCCTCCGGCGAGGGCTCGAGCCTCGCCCGACCAAGGCGAGGCTAGCCCTCGCCGAGCGAGGTCGAGCTCGCCGGGCGAGGCCGCCGCCCTCGCCAATGGCCGGCGAGGTCGAGCTCTCCGGCCCCTGGCCTCTGGCCGGTCACTGGACCGGCGACCGGCCAGAGGAAGGAGGGGGGGGACCAAAAAAAAAAGTGAAAAAAAAAAAGAAAAAAAGGAAAAAAAAATAAAAATTCAAAAAAAAATATTAAAATATTATTAAAGTCGGCTCCGGTGACCGGCCGGCAGGTGTCCACGTCGGCAAATTCCGGTCAAAATTAATCGGAAGGACTAAATTGGTACAAAAACAAAAGGTTTAGGACTGAATTGGTACCAATTTATAAAGTTTAGGACTTAATTGGCACCAAAAAAAGGTTTAGAACTAAATTGGCATCAATGCAAAAGATTTAGGACTGAATTGACACCAAAAAAAGGTTTAGGACTAAATTGGCACTAATGCAAAAGGTTTAGGACTTTTTTGACACTTTTCCCCGCATTTGACTGAATTTGTAAGTAGCGACCGTGCCGTAATGCCCTCTCAGTCTGCATTTGTTGAGCTTCTTCAACGGAGTTCACATTGTCACTTTATCAGGAAGGAAGATTGCAGTAGATCCCTCTTCGGCGTTCCTTTTTGCTCCGTCACATTACGACACAAAACCCCCATTAACCGTACGATACCGATGCAAATGAGACGAGCTCCCCGAGCCACGGGGGGTACGCCTCTTGACGCGTATCGATTCACTCTTTAACACGACCCGTCCATGTTCGAAAAGGAATAAGGAAAGGGAAGGCAAGGATCGGCTTGTGTAATTAGAAAAGAAAAGGTCCGGTCCTCCGAATCATGGGCGCCGTTGCAAGTAAACTTTGTTCTAGTCCAACGTTAAAACATCGGAACGTTCCAACCCATCAAAACATCTCTCTGAGAAGAGAGAGAGAGAGATGTTGCCAGAGAATAGGTCAAGACCCTCTGCACGCGCACGCGCACCCACGTCCCATATTACGGGAGGAAGGGTTTGACCGGCGAGAAATTGGACGCAAGAAGGGCCGGTCAAAATTTGTGAACAGATCGCGTTCAAATTAGCATGGCGTTCAAATTTGCCGATCATTGATTAGACTAAAAGCCCCCCCCCCCCCCCCCCGAAGATCCGGGGTTCGTGCAAAGGGGCTGCCGCCGTCGCTCTTTACGGATCGACCCATGTTGATGATCCAGGTGGGGGTAGCTTGCGGGCCTGCGGCGGCTGCAAATCGCGTGGAAAAAAGATGGTTTTTTTTTATTATGTGGGTCAAGGAAAGGGATCGCGCAACAAGGCCGGGAGAAAGCCAAATTTGAGATGTTGATATGAAATGGGTATGAAGAAAGAGAGAGAGGGAGAGAAAGAGAGACGAGAGAGATTAGCAGGAGACTTCGAGCTTTTCCTGTTCAACGAAGCAAAAAGTAAGAACAAGCAACAGCGACGCGCTCCCCTCCTTCCCTTTTTTGGCCCGCGGTTGGTCCACCGCACAGCGATTGGGAATCGTCTCCTTTGGCGGAGCGTTTCCCGCGTGCTCTCTGCACGCCACACGTCCCCCAATTCGATCGCGCCACAGCTCGATCGATCAGAGAATTCAGAAGCAGTGTGGGGGCGACAGATCTCGAAAGAGAACGAATCCGTTCAGAGCCCACGATGCGATTCTGGGTTTCTCGACGGAATCACACAGACAACAAATAATCCATACGATCACTAAAAAAAACGGGGAGTGGGGAAGGAAAAGAGGGTACACAACGAAACGCGTCACGCTACCGGAAAAAGGGGGTGGCCTCAGAAATCGGAGCAGCGGCCGTTTCGCTCCCAATCGCCGTAGCGGGTCGGTTCGGGGCCCCTGGGGCCGCCGATCTCGCCCGTCTCTTTGTTGACGTGCCCGCCCTCGTCCTCGTCCTCGTCCTCGTCCTCTTCTTCTTCTTCTTCTTCTTCTTCTTCTTCTTCTTCTCGGGGTTCTTCCTCTTCCTGTTGATGCCGGACCTCCTTCGAGGCGTCCCCCCGCGGCTCACCGCCGGGGCTCCCCCGGGGCTGCTCGGCCGACGAGCCGAGCAGCCGGGCCGCCGCGCAGGCGACGGAGCGGGCCAGGGACTCGGACCCGGCGCGAGCGAGCGCCAGCTTCGGGGCGGAGAGGTCCGCGAGGGAGGCGAGTCGGCGACTCAGGTTGACGGCGGCCATGGCGATCCAGGAGGGAGTGGGGGAACGGGGCGGCTTTACGTGACGAATCTCTGGAGGAAAAGTAGAGTTGGAGGAGACGAGGAAGAACGCCAAAACGACGGAGCTTGAAGGAGGAGGAGGACGTGCAACGACTCGTCGTTTTCGCTCTCTCTCTCTCTCTCAGAGGGCAGTGTCGTTTGGCAGTCCACGTGTTGGGCGACGTGGACATGGTTAGAGTCCATTGTGTGTCGTGTCTGTGACCTCTGGAATTGCAATTCAATTTTTGCTACGAGGTACCCAAAATGGTTCAATGCATCGGGTGCACCGGTTGATACCACTCCTAACATATCCTCGAACCCGGAAAAAGTACCAAAAAAGAGTGCACTTGTGTCCATTTTGACTGACATGAACGCCAGTCATTTCGCGTGACACGTCCAATACTGATGTTGACATTTTTTTTTTCCTGACATTTGTTTCCCAACTGTGAGTTGCCGGCTTATGAATCCGGACTATTCGAGTTCTCTTTCCTTTTTTTTTTTTTAAAACCATCGTGCCGAGCTCCATGTGACACTCTCATGACTTACAAACCTCTCGAGTGATAGAATTCTTGACATGAAGTCACCAGGGCGAGTCGTCGAAGATCGAATCGAAATATCTGAGTTTTGCTCATCATTCCCAGATTCGTGCTCATTGACAAATTCCATTGCAAAGATAGAAGTGACAATCGAAAAAGATAAAGACACGTCTGCTCAAAAGAAAGAAGATGGTTTCCATTGCGGTTGCACAGAGCTGTGCTGCAGCCTTCTCATTCATAGACATGGACACACATTACGTTCCATCCCCTTGTTACACCACAACGAATCCACAGCAACGTCTCGAATGAAGAAGCTACTGGTTACTTAAAAAACGAAATGAATAGCAAACTGCATCGACTGCTCAATAAAATATGTCCCCCTATATAACCTTGTCCGTCGACGACGAGAACTGTACATTATTATTCCTTTGTAACAATCAAGAACTTGCAAACCTAACCCAAACAAGACTAAAGATTAGAGACCCACCAAAAGTAGAACAGCTTCCAACTTATGAAGCCCTCAGCCAGCATAAACATAGCACACATAGCCTGCCAATCTTCGCCTCCCTCATTCCTCCCCTCGGGCCAACAGTGTTTCAGATCTATAGCGTGAACTGAGCAGAGGCTCCTCTCGCACATCCACGACAGGCTCACTTTGCCCTTTTCGTCTCCGCCGCGCAGAACACTAGAATCTGCGGACCTCTACGTCATCACGGTGAATTTGCCGCAGCCTTCTTGCCGCTTGTTGATGTCTTGTTGCTGCAAGGTCGAGTCCTCTTGGTTCTCGGGCTCGACGGCGAGATCCTCCTCTTTTGGCACGAGGTATCTATCAACCTGCGCGGCAGCTTGCCTTCCCTCGGAGATGGCCCACACCACCAGAGACTGACCACGTCGACAATCCCCAGCAGCAAAAACTCCTTCCACACTGGTTGCAAACCGGCCATAATCAGCCTTGAAGTTTGACCGACCATCTTTCTCTAGACCTAACTTGTCCGCAATTGTCTGAAAAAGAGCAAAACAGCAAAAACAACAGGCACAAATGCTGTCAACCAACTGTACAGAAAAAAAGAACATATTTACATTCACCCGGCATTTAGCTGTATGCACCCAACCCCAAGTATGGGTTAAAGGTATCCTCACATTCTTCATTATTTTTTTAACCGGTTCATCTTTTCCATATTATATGAGGTTTCCTAGGGCAATAGTGAGTCTCTCAGGCCCACGTGCCAATCAATTTTACTTTAGCGCATACACTGAACAACCAAGTTATACTGTTGCCACCGAAAGAAAAACTCATTTACACGCAAATTTGACCTCCCCATGCTAAATTCATTCTTGGCACTGTTCAAACTATATGAGAAACATTTCGTCCAAAAAAAAAAAACTATATGAGAAATGTGAGAGAACGGTTCAAATACTAACCGATTCTGGACCAAGGAATCCCATGGCTAGTAAAACCAGATCAGCCTCAATTGTTTCCTCAGATCCCTCGATTTCTTTCAACTGAAACTTCCCATCAGCATCCTTCTCCCACCTAACACGCACTAATTCGAGCCCTGTAACGACCCCATTTTCATCACCAATAAACCGCTTAGTTAGCACTTCATAAGACCTTGGATCTTTCCCAAATTTAGCCGCAGCTTCCTGGTGGCCATAATCAACACGGAAGATACGAGGCCACTGTAAACAGCATTGAACAGAGGAAAAGAACTGTGAGTAAATATGACAATGTGCATGCTATATAAACTAAATGATAATGCAATAATCAAGAGTAATCCTGTGATTGTCAAGAGAAAAGGTAACTCATGCAATATTTGTACCTGTGGCCAAGGGTTGCCTGGAGCCCTACTCTCCGGTGGCTTAGAAAGCAGTTCCAAGTTTACAATGCTACTGCAGCCATGCCTGATAGATGTTCCTATGCAATCTGTGCCGGTGTCACCTCCGCCAATGACCACTACCTTCTTTCCCTTTGCAGATATGTAGTTACCATCCTCGAGATTGCTGTCAAGCAAGCTCTTTGTGTTTGCATGAAGGAACTCCATGGCAAAATGGACACCTGACAATTCGCGTCCTGGTACAGGAAGGTCCCTGCACGAGGGAAAATTCAATCCACAGGCATAAATATCGCTTTTCTCATCAACCAGAACATGGTGCAAAAACTCCCCCAACATGTCCCCAAAGTTAAGTGTCAGTGAAGTTACCTTGGTTTTGTGGCGCCAACAGCTAAAACAATAGCATCATTTTCCTTTTGGAGCCTTTCAAGAGAGTATGATGAATCCTTCCCAACATTGGCATTAACGACAAAATTGACACCTTCCTGAGCCATCAGGTTAACTCGCCGTTGAACTACATCCACTTTGTCAGTCTTCATGTTTGGCACACCATACATCATTAGGCCCCCAATTCGATCGGCACGCTCATACACCGTCACAAAATGGCCCGTCCTGTTCAGCTGGTCCGCAGCAGCCAATCCAGCCGGTCCACTTCCCACAATCGCAACTTTTTTCCTGAGAGCATAAAGAAATTGATGATACTAACTTTAGAATAGTCAACATATTTTGTCACAACCAACCCTGAAATCTGATTGGTTTAAGCCAAAAGACTCTATGGGAAACCAGGTTAATTCTTAAGCATTATGAATGAAGGAATAGAAGGATTTAACTTGAACAGGAACCCTGGAGAAAAGAAACATCTCTAGGGAATATAATAGATGACCTTGACAGAGATTTTCAAGCAAGGCCTACCAATCATATTCTCCAAGCACATAGTAAGCAAAGCACAGATCTAATTGACCAGTTAATGTTGTTGAATGAAGAGACAGCATACCCTGTTCTCTTTTGGGGTGGCCGGGGCACCATCCACCCCTCGTCAAAGGCCTTGTCTATGATCGAGCATTCAATATTCTTGATGGAAACAGGATTCTCAATGATACCAAGAACACAAGAGCCTTCACATGGTGCAGGACACACGCGGCCTGTAAACTCAGGGAAATTATTTGTCTCCAACAGTCGATCTAGTGCTTCACGCCACCTATTTTGGTATACTAGCTCATTGAACTCGGGTATTTTGTTTCCAAGAGGGCATCCAGAGTTTTCCTGCATGGTAAAGCCACAAGAACAGATATAAGATAAAATTCATCTAGAATACGTACAAACATACATACATACATACATACATACATACATACATACACAGACACAATCATAAAATGAAATCATTACAACTCTTACCTGATGGCAGAAAGGAGTGCCACAGTCCATGCACCGGGCAGACTGAGTTTTTAACAGGGGACCTGGTTTGGACTCCTCCATGACTTCCTTCCAATCATTCATCCGAACATTAGGATCCCTATATTGAACACCTTTGCGCTCATAAGTAAAAAATCCTCCATGCTTAATGGCATCAGTAACTTGCGTAGGCCTCTTGGGAGCCTCGACAGATTCTACCTTCTATAAAAACCAAAAGTTAAAGTCAGACATCTCATCAAATAATGGTTACCAGCTGAATCCTTGATATCAGTCTGCCCCCACATAAAGCACATAAAGAAAAGGTTAAACTTGCCACAAAACGAAAGCCACAAACTACCCTAAGGGAAGCAAGTGGCAAAATTTCAACTTTTGAAAAATTATCCAAAACTTATGAACCCTAGAACAAGATATTCATGTCGTGTATCGAGACATCAGCCGTCTATGACACATTTGCGCCAGCATATAGACGCACACACACAAAATCAATAAGCAGAGCACAAACTCAGGAGGAGAAACTTAATCCAAATATCAGATCTTCCAAATTTTTAACACTGACAAATAACTATCATATAAGTCGGGGTAGTCTAACGTTGAAAAAATTTCGGTATAACAGAGGCTTAGTGTCACACATGAATGATCAATAAAGACAAGCATGGACGATATGGTCAGGCTTTTCTTTTATTTTTCTTTCAGTGTCAAGGATTGACATCAAGCATTTAAATCATAACTCAAACCATAATGTTTGAAGAGAGCACTAGATGTTCAAAAGCAAATCTCATTTATCAGATACATACCTCACTGGCTTTGGCATTGGTTGATGCAGCTGCCATCTTCTTAAGCTCTTCGAAAGCATTTTGCCCCATCAACTCTCCCTCATCTTGCTCCTGTTCCTCCTCCATATTTTTCTGAGCATTTTTGGAAGCTTCTCCTACTTTCTTGTCTGCTAGAATACGCTTGTAATCCCTGGGGAATACCTTGATGAACTTAGGCAGAAGACTCTCGAAGTCTACTAACACCTCTTTTGCCAATTGGCTGTTTGTATGACGCTGGTGTTGCTGAATCATCATTCTGAGGGTCATAATATCCTCCTCTTCCTCGACTTTATCAAGATCTACCAACTCAAGATTGCAACGTGATTGGAATTTACCATCCACATCTAGAACATATGCAATGCCACCACTCATACCAGCAGCAAAGTTCCTGCCAGTTTTTCCAAGCACAACAACTGTCCCACCAGTCATGTACTCGCATCCATGATCACCAACCCCTTCAACCACAGCTCTTGCCCCAGAATTGCGCACACAGAATCTTTCCGCAGCCATTCCATTGAAGTATGCCTCCCCACTTGTGGCCCCATAAAGAGCCACATTTCCAATCACAATATTCTCTTTCGGATCAAATTCACTTCCCTTTGGAGGATAAACTACAATTTTTCCACCTGATAATCCTTTGCCAACATAATCATTACCGTCACCTTCGAGCTCCAGTGTGATGCCAGGGCAGAGAAAAGCTCCAAGACTCTGGCCAGCACTTCCAGAGAGTTTAATATGGATGGTATCTGCAGGTAGTCCAGCCATGCGATAGCGTTTAGTCACCTCATGGCTGAGCATTGTTCCAACAGCACGATTCACATTGCAAATAGGCATTTCAATATAGATAGGGAGACTTTTTTCTAAAGCAGCTTTGGACAGGGAAATAAGTTCCTGGTCCAAAGCCATATCCAAGCCATGGTCCTGCTTCTGGACACAATACTGAGCAGCGTCAGGCCTTATCTCAGCTGCAGGTCTAAGAAGCAAGGAGAGGTCAATATTCTCCAGCTTTTCATTGTTCTTGGTTACTTCTCTGTCGACCTCAAGCATATCAGAACGACCAACCATCTCATTAATCGTCCGAAATCCCAGCTGAGACATGATCTCCCTAACTTCCTCAGCCAACATGAAGAAGAAGTTAATGACGTGTTCAGGTTCTCCAGCAAATTTCTCTCGGAGAACAGGATCTTGTGTAGCAATGCCAACAGGGCAGGTGTTCTTGTGGCACTTTCTCATCATGATGCAGCCGAGTGTTATGAGGGGAGCAGTGCTAAACCCAAATTCCTCAGCTCCGAGGAGTGCGGCAATGGCAACATCTCTTCCAGTCTTTAGTTGGCCATCAGTCTGAAGAACTGTCCGACCACGAAGGTCATTTGCAACCAGGGTTTGATGTGTCTCAGCCAAACCAAGTTCCCATGGAAGCCCTGCATTTTTTATACCTGTCCATCGTGAGGCCCCGGTTCCTCCATCATGCCCCGAGATCAAAACATGGTCGGCATGCCCTTTCACTACACCACTGGCTATTACTCCAACTCCAGCTTCAGACACTAGCTTCACACTGATTCGAGCTGCAGGATTGGAATTCTAGAATAGCAAACAAAGACAAGGAACGATTAGTTTGCACGAGCCAGGATCTAGGCACTGGACAACAGAGACGAAAGGGCGTAGAATTTTACCTTAAGATCATGAATTAATTGGGCAAGGTCTTCAATTGAATAGATATCATGATGTGGAGGGGGACTTATCAGTCCAACACCAGCAGTAGAATTTCTGGTCACTGCAATATCTCCTATTACCTTGTGGCCAGGGAGCTCACCTCCCTCACCAGGCTTGGCGCCCTGCATTAAAACACAAATGAAGTCAAAATCAAATAAATCCATTTCGAATTAATTATTTTTAGCACATGTTAACCTCACCAAATGCCACATGTGGATATCAACTAAAGCAAAGACACCGCATGGTGCTTTGCTGACACAGCATCATCTGCCATGAACATAAATGAATAAACAAAGGGAAGCTCTGTTCCAACAGGAACACACAGGGCCAACTGTATCAAAATCAAAGGCAACCATAGATGAGGATTCTGCATCTTTCGTGATAGAACCAACATATACCTGAGCCATTTTAATCTGCAGCTCATCAGCATTAGTAAGGTAGTAACTTGAAACCCCAAATCTCCCACTAGCAACCTGCTTGATGGCACTCCTCTTTGGATTCATAGAGCCATCTGGAAGAGGATCCATGCGAGATGGTTGCTCTCCTCCCTCACCTTCAACAGAGAACATAAAGGAACAATATGAATCCAATTATGAGGAGCAAAACTCCTCACAAGTAAGAAACCGCAGCAGTCAGAGTTACAGATGACGTAAAACAATCCCAAATCGGAGTACATGCAACGAAACACAAACAAAAGCTTCACCCACGATATGGTAACACGAACTTTTTTTCTCTTAATGAGTTTAGATATGTTGTGCTTCACACATCTAAGAGACAAAGTAAGCTAGTTCAAATTGTATTTATGGCAAATTAAATTAAATTATACCCGTGTTTGACTTGCCCCCAATTCTGTTCATTGCCATGGCCAGTGCGGTATGTGCCTCAAGTGAAATTGATCCATAGCTCATAGCACCAGTGCAGAACCGCTTAACAATCTCACTAGCAGGTTCAACTTCATCCAGAGGGACTTTGGCTGCCACTTCCTTAAATTTCAAGAGACCACGCAAATTGCAGCTTTTGTTCAATTCCTGGATGCGCCTCGAGTACTCCTTATATGCAGCCACACTATTACTTCTGGCAGCTTCTTGCAGCTTCGCCATAGCAAGAGGGTCATTAAGGTGAATCTCACCACCCTTCCTCCAGTGATAATCCCCAGGGTTAGGCAGCGCAATGGCTTCCGCACTACCGGGCGGGAAGACACGATTAGGAAATGCTAACCCATGCAAATCAAGCGCATCTTGGGCAAGCATCTCAAATGTTGCACCCTCCACCCTGCTTGGAGTTCCAGCAAAGCACTTCTCAATAACTTCTGATGAAAGACCCAAAGCTTCAAAAATCTGAGCACCCTTATATGAGGCCAACGTTGAAATCCCCATTTTTGCAAGAACCTTCATCATTCCATAGTTGCTTGCCTTGAAATACTTCTTGACCAGCTCGTCCTTTGATAAAAATTCACCGTTTGCTTTGGGTGGAATTTTTCCATCAACCTGCAATCTCCAAATTGCCTCTATTGCCAGATACGGGCATATAGCATCAGCACCAAACCCAACAAGTGTACAGAAATGGTGCACCTCGCGTGGCTCGGCAGATTCAATAATTAACCCCACTTGAGTGCGCTCAAGCTTTCTTACAAGATGGTGATGAACAGCACCCACAGCCAAGAGAGAGCTTACAGCAACACGCTCCGGGGAGAATGCTGCATTGGAAGAAAAAGTAGTTAAACTCCATCCTATGTACAAGTTCCTTTAAGAGGAATAAGATCCAGTTTAGCAATGAAATACCTCTATCGGACAGTACAAGAGTTTTATAGCCCTCCTTGATAGCTTTACTTGCTTCTTCACAGATCCTATCCAAGGTTTCCTCCAGTCCCTTTCTACCACGTCTCTTGGAGTAAGTTATGTCTATGATTTTGCTTTGCCAACCTATGTGATTCATCTTTTTAACAGCTTCCATTTCTTGAATGGACAGAAGAGGACCTTTTAGCGAGAGGCGATGGCACTGTTGCTCGGTGGTCTCTGTAAGATCACCTTCTGGCCCAATCATGCATTCCATCGAAGTAACTATCTTCTCTCTGATTGGATCAATAGGAGGGTTTGTCACTTGAGCAAACATTTGCTTGAAGTACTCGAATGTGAGCTTCTCTCTATCAGACATGACCGCCAAAGGCGTATCATTTCCCATTGATCCTAGGGCCTCCGTACCGTCTTTTGCCATGGGAAGCAGCAACATTTCTAAAGCTTCAACGGTGTAACTGCAAAAGGGAAAGCTTCAGAACAAGAAGAAGACCAAAGAGAATGTTCAGTATTTAGTATATAGAGCAATAGAGTGTACCCGAAAGCTTTCAGAGGGGCCACTAAACCATGAATTCCCATATTTTCCATGTTGTCGTCATCAGCAGATACCTGATAGACATAAACCAAGATGAGAATCCCACACAAAAATGAACAAAGGAAATTAGTCAAGCTCAGACACTTACTGCCACCACCCCAGCAATAGCTGGAGCATTCCTTTTAGATTCAGGAACAGAGTCAACTATGTCCTTGAGTTCAATCTTTTGCCTTCTAAGCCATTCTCCATAAGGCCTCGCCATAGAATATTGTTGCTTCAAGGCTCCATCGTCTACAACGATATGCTTGTCAAAATCCACCAAAAGCATCATCCCAGGGTTCAGCCTTCCTTTCCTAGACACATCTTCGGGAGGAATGTCGACTACACCAACTTCACTTGCCATTATTACTCTTCCACTATGAGTGATGTAGAAACGACCAGGACGCAGGCCATTGCGATCCAATGTTGCTCCAAGGTAGCGGCCATCAGTAACTGCAAGTGATTCTGCAGATAAGTAGATAGCACAAGAATTTGCTTCAAATGGTACTGTAATGCGACAAATTATTACATGAAATCAAAGCTGGCCCATCCCATGGCTCCATAAGAGCTGAGAAGTATTCATACAAAGCCTTTCTTTGAGGATCCATGTTCTTGTCATTTTGCCATGCTTCTGGGATCATCATCATCACAGCTTCAGGAAGACTTCTGCCAGCTCGAACTAGAAGCTCAAGAACACCATCAAAAGCTCCTGAAAGAGAGAAGTTTTCCTAAGTTAGACCATGAGATCTTCCAAGTTTATGTCTGTAGAGATGTTGACTCCAAATGAACCACGCTAGTAGGTGGTCCCACTAGCAACGAGCACCCACAATATAACAGAATAGATTTCCACCTGAATCAGATGAACTGGCATCTACAATCGGTAGAAGCTTCTTCAACTCATTCTTTGATAGACCAAGCTCCTTGCATTTTAAGAGACCCTCACGTGCTTTCATCCTAAGAAGAAGAAAGAGTGTCACACGGTGTCAATACAAAAAGATAAGGCAGCAGAGATAACAAAAAAGGTCTCTGAAGAAAAATACAAAGACCATCTACCCGACATCATAGTCTAATTGCAGGTATAAGATTAGTCTATCTCTTACAGTCGACCACAACCCTATCGTTCATGTAACTAACAAGGTAAAAGTTCCACAAGCCTAGCGAAGCGAAACCTGTACATTGATAGCAGAATTCAACATTGGATTCTTCTTAAACTAGAATTGGAGATTTTATATGTCAAAAGAGTAGAAAGCAACAACTTTGAAAAGAGGTGAGGCACATCAAATACTGTCACATCCAAAGATTTTATCCCTCTTGGCTGTTATTCCACGATATTCCATGTAGGAAGAGGAGAAAATAATAGCCAATAATTGCACTCAACAAGCTCATTATCAGAAATTACCAGTTCACGTTGCCTCTGAGCGTATTAATCTCCCCATTATGACCTAAGATTCGCATTGGTTGTGCACGATCCCAGCTTGGGAATGTGTTTGTCGAGAAGCGGGAGTGTATCTGCACCAATACACCAGCCAATACAGTCATTCCACAGTGCAATTGCATTATTCAACAGGGGAAATCCGGAACGAAGTCCACAAACATGGAACTGTGACGCGGATGAAAGTATGAGAATACTGGGAACCTATGGCAGTCTGAATGAACACATCCCTCCACTAAATAGATCATCTCATCCTTAAAGACTGAGCCTACGGCTCTGCACCAGGTTTCAGTAAACATGATTCACTTGGCAGCGAGGTTTCTTACCAACTCACTCAGTGTCAGTATCAAGGGAGTGGAAGAACTTAAGGGATCATTCAAACCTCAAGGCTTCAGAAGTCACTCCTCAACCTTGCATCCCGTCAGTCACTCGTTCCATGCTGTTTGTTGAAGTATGAAGTTAGTGGAGAGAGAAGAAAGTAAAAGGTCAATATATTTACCAGGGCCATGTAGCTCGTGAACCTTTCATCGCCAAGATCTGCATAGTAGTAGTCTTTCAACTGAACAGGTTTCAGCTGACCCTTGTAGACAACAGTTCTGCAAATTTGGATAAACAAATGGATGAGACATCAAGTGGGGAAAGGTACTGAACCAATGTGATATGATTCGATCTCATGCACAAACAAACCTTGAGGAAAGAGAACATATGTAGAAGTCCCTAGCACCGCCGTGTTGGAGGTTCAAGGCTGCACGAATAGCAACCATTGAGACCCTCCTGAGTATGTACATCTAGTAAAAAATGGAACAAGCATATTAGTCGATAAAAAAAAACGAAAGTCAAAGTCAATTTCTGCAAAACAAAAATCTTAGGATGGACAACAAGATCCGTAGACATTGAAATACTTCACTATCTTCAGATGGCTGAATATTAAGCAAGTATTAGTAAGTAAATATAACCAATTAGCACATAAAAGTTTCTCCTTTCTTGTTCTACGTACAGCATTGACTCTTTTCAAAAACACGAACAAAGCATAACCGAACCCAATGGCCAAGAGACTTAGGAATTCCCTCTGTAAGGAACCCATCACCATGAAGGAAGGACAAAGGAAAAAAAAAAATCTTGGACTCCCATCTCTCAGTCAAGATACAATAAATTGAGATAAAAAGCGAGTACCTGTCGCTCCAGATCAACTTTCGACCTGGAACTCGGCGTAAGGAACACTTGTTCAATTACAGGTTCCGTCTCCAAAGCTGACTTGCCCAACCCCGAATTATCAGTTGGCACAGATCTCCAACCTATGACCATGTGCCCCAGAGACTCTGCAACCTTCATGAGATAAACCACCACACAACTACATCAGACTTGAAGACAGAGCGAAAGGTGCAAACAATGCAACTAAGCTTTAAGACATGATGCAATTTCGGTGCGTGGATTAGCTCAGTGACCACTGGGGGCAGAGATATAGAGAGAGAGAGAGAGAGAGAGAGAGAGACGGTCTCGAGACTACCTTTTGGAATACTCTTTTACTTTGTTCCCTTCGAGTCTCCGACGTTGGCAGAAACAACATGCCGACAGCATACTCACCGGGAGGCGGTAATTTGAATCCATTCTCTTTGACGACCTGAGGGAAGGCAATCGAGCAATGATCAATGCACGAGCAAAGAACCAGAAAGACACTGAAACAAAAGTAAAACCGCAAAAATGTTCGATACCCCGAACAAAAATTGTAGGTCAATGTAACCAAAAAAACCAGCATAAAACTACAAAGCAAGATTTTTTATTTTTTATTTTATTTTTGCAGTAACACGGAATTACTATGATTATCGCCATTGAAAGGTTTTCTTATTTTGTTTTCTGTTTTCATGTGATACACAACGAGAGGAGTAAATAGAAAGGAACAGGACATACTTCCTGGTAGAACTCATGCGGAAGCGCGACAAGAATTCCAGCTCCATCACCAGTATTAGTTTCGCAACCGCAAGCACCACGGTGCGACATACGAATCAGCATCTCCAAAGCATCCGTCACCTGCACACGAACACATAAAACCATTTACGCACCCATCAAACAGCGCAGGTAACCCGAATTAACATCCACTACACCCACAAAATTAATCAGATCAAACACGAGGAGATAATTCCTTCAAGTAAACTGGGAACCGAGCCCGTGGAAAATGCACCTATAAAAACAAAACATGAACGCGAACCAAAGAAGTAGCATCATATCAGGTAAATTAACTTCATACACACACGGAAGCAAACAAATACGAATTGTGCATGAATAAAGCATGTGCAAATGAACGACCAAATCACTCACCGTCTTGCGGCTGGTTTCGCCAGACAACTCGGCAACAAACCCGACTCCGCAAGAGTCCTTATCGAACTTCGGGTCGTAGAGACCAAGAGGCTTCTCCGGGACCGCGGACAATGCGGACCGCACGAGGAGGCGGAGCTTCGACAGCCGACCCGACCCATCAGACGCCAAGGCGTGGAGCCTCTCGGATCCGGCCTCCTGCTGGAGCCGGGGCCCGAAGAAGTTCTTCTCCAGAACACCCGTTGACTTCTTGGAAACAGAGCATCGGCTCGCCCTGGCCCTGCTCCTGGAACGAGACACGCTCAACTGAGGCGTAATGGACGGCTTGGCGAGCGACGCGGGCAGAGCCGGAGCTCGCGTTTTCGGCTGAAGGAGCGAAGAACTCGACGAGGCGGACGACATTATAAAAAAACGACGAAGGGACTCGTATGCGATTGGGTTGGCGCTATGGACGAGCGATAAAGATGAGGACTTCCTTCCGAGAGGATAAAAGGGTGTCTAAAGCTGATGTGTCTAAAGCTGATGTGACCAGAATCAAATCCAAGCGAGATCAGGGAAAGGATCCGGTAGCAAACCGACGACAAAACCCACTTCCCCACTCGACCCAAAACCAAAATCCTCAGGCACAGATCTATCGATGCGGATAACGAACGAGGGCCGATTCGACTCGCTCCGAGTCCGCTTCCTTTCCAACCCCAAGAAAAAACCCACCTCGGCCTCCGTTCTCACGCCCCGAAATGCCCAGCGAGCGCAAGCGAAGAACAGGGTGGACGTGGGACACTCGGAGGAAAAAGCCAGAAGACAAGAGCGCCCCCCGCACCCCCACCTCTCCCTCCGGGGATTCACGATTCCGAGGCTTCCAAACGCGAGAGCTGTCTCCGCGCAGCAATGCTCGTTGTTATCAAAAGGAACGAAAACGAGGGAAAAGGCGAGAGAGAAAAAAACAGAGAACAACGAGGGCGACCCGCTATAAGAATTCACGAATTATAAGCCATTTTTATGGGCTCGCTCGTTGGCCGAGCGGATTCTTCGAGACCAGGAGAGATTCTCCGGGGCGAAATAAAAATGTGGGTAACCACCGATTCCCTCCGCAACCAGAGCTAAATATATATCCCCCGCACCCCCACCAAATGCAGACACGCACAGATACACAGAGAGAAAGACAGACAGACAGACAACAGAGAAACAGAGCGAGACACACACACACACACACAGAGAAACAGAGAGATGCAGAACAAGATTTGATTGATGATTTGGAGAGAGAGAGAGAGAGAGAGTGTGTGTGTGTGTGTGAAGAAGGAGGAGAAGGAGAAGGAGAAGGAGGTCGAAGGGCGTTGGGAGGGAGGCGGAGCAGGAGGGAGCGACGACAGAGGGCTGGCTGGTTTGCTGCTGCTGCTGCGAAGCTATCTTTGGCTGCGGGAGGGGGGAAGGTGGAGGAGGAACAGGCTCGGGCGAGAGCGGTCAATTTATAGAACAAAAAAATGACCCCCAGGCCCCACCCCTCAAAGGAAAAGGAGTAAAAAAAAAAAAACAAAAGGAAAAACTTGGCAGATACAGATAGACCGAGGGATTGGTGGCCGGGGCCCACCACCACCCCCGGTGTTGTGTTGGGGAGGGGGACGGGGGACGGGGAAGGGGAAGGGGGGAAATTTCACCCGGTCCACGTCAGCGCCCGCCCCCGTTCAACGACAGCTCAGGGCTCGCCGGGCCGCCGCGTGTGCGGGGACGGCCGATGCGGCACTCGACAGCCGCTCGCGGCTGGCTCTACCTTCGTGTGCGTGTCCCTGTGTTTTTTCCGCCCCCAAAATCGCCCCCGAATAATTCACTCACAAGGCAAAATCCCCTAGAGAGAAAAAATCAATAATGATAAAAAAAATTGATAATAATAAAGAGGACAAAAAACGAGGAATCAATAAATAAAGCAGACGTGGACTTTTCCTTTCTCCTCTCCTCTCCTCTCTTCTCTTCTCTTTCCCAAATTCAAAGTCCCCATCTGGGCCTAATGATATAAAGTCCCGATTTGGGATCAGGCTCGGCTCCGAGCCACCGCGCCGCGAGATCTCCGCTTCCCCGGTTAAAGTTCTAATTTTTCCGCAAAGAGAAAAAAAAAAGAGGATAATTCGAATTTTTTGGGGAAAGAGATTATTAAGCATCGTTTCCATCTAAGACAACTGGGCTTAACTTAACTTAGCTAATTAATCAATTTGGGTATCCACTAAGCATCCGCTTTTCTTGGTAATAACCACCAAGGGGGGACATGATGATGCATTTGCCATCCATGAGCCCGCGTGGGGGGCTTTTCCCCTGATGAATCCGACACGTGTGCGGCGCCGCGACGACGGCAGTGGTTAAGGTGCCTAATCTGGGTGCTTAGGTTGGTTTCCTTGGTCGGTCCGGGTCCAAACCCGGCTTTTTAATTAGATTGCCCGATTTGGCCATTTTAGACGACTCGCCCGCTCGCTTTGGGCTCCCTTTATCAAATGCGAAGCGGAGAATATACGATGCCGTCGTGTCCCAAATTAGGGTCCAGCCCTCCGATATAAATTTCCCCTAATTGCAAAAATCCGACTTTTTATCGATGCCATGTCAGCGACGTACCCGACGGTAATTCCTTTAAAGGGCCGATGCCATTAAAAAAAATTAGTTGCGATCGCGACACGCTTGCCCAAAAAGATCCGTATCCCCGACCTGGATCTGCTTCCGTTGGCATTCCGTTCGACGTCCCGTTGCAATGCATTACGGTGCCCCGCGTATGAAATTGATGCGGCGATACTTTCGTCGAGAAAACCTCCGCCTCGAAAGCTTTTGAAATCGGACGAGATGCCATCATTCTATCGACGCCGTGACCGGCGAAATCTTCGAAAGAGGACGGTTTCGACGGTCGATTCGATTGCCTAAACGATTCTCGAAGCATCGTTTTACCCTCGTCCCTGTGCCCGAGATGCTGGGTTCCTTTTCTTTTGTTCCATTGGGGAGAGAGTTTGCGGCCACGGATGCCCGCTTGTCATCCTCGTTGACTTTTCTGGCGGAACGAAGAAACGAGCCGAGGACTTTGCCAATCCAATCACGCTTTTTCCCAAATCGAATTAAACATCCCATAACTTGACGCATGTTAGCAACAGAGGGTAAGAAAATCACGCCACCCCCGCCGCTCCGCCCCCCCCAAAAAAAAAAAAAAAAATTCGCTACGTGCCGGGGGGCCGGGGGCGATACGGTAAATGCGCGGCGCCCGTGCGCGATTAGAGTTGACAAAACCCTTTATTAGTGACGGAATGGATGACGGTATTTAGGGAGGGCAGCCATTATCTTAATAATTAATCGCCCTTTACGCGGCCACCCGCGCGCGTGATGTCCTTGTCTCGGTGGTGCCGGCGGGCTTCTGCGGCCAACGGTGAGAGGGGAGGGACGCTTGCCGATTTTTATAAGCCGATTCCCGACGGAAACATGGGATACGGACAGTATTTGCCACGTGGGAAAGGTCTTCTTTGTTGTGGGGTGGTCGATTCTTTGAATAGTGTAGTCCTTCTTGTTCTTGGCCGTTGCTGGCGTGGGGGCAGGCGACTGGATCTTGGTGACTAGGGCGGCATATGGAAGGTTGGAAAAGAGGATGCTTTTTGGGGTAAAGTTCTTGTGGGCATGCCCATGGATTCTTCGGCTAATCTGTGGTCAAAGAGGACACGCCAAAGCGTGAAGTTAGGGCTTTTTTTTTTTTTTTATCCCGTCTTTTTCTTGTTTAGAGACGGAGCCAAAGCGAACGGGAGATCGGGGCGTGCCGGTCGGTTTTCGTGATCCATATTATCGAGGTTTGCATGTCTGCGATTCGCGTCGGTCGGTCGTTCGGACGGAGCTATGAAGATTTTTTTTTCGAGACGGCGGGTAATCTGGGGATCCAGGGGGGGGGAGAACTGCGGTGGCTGGATAGGATGGCGTCGGATGGTGTCGTTTCCCGAAAGGTCGGGTTGGGGCCGGTACTTGACTTACGGCATCAGCCCGGCGTAAGTACGGTTCTCGACGCGGGAAGGCAAATGGATCGGGATCAGGACTCGTCGATTACCGGGTTGGTTTTTTTTTTACGAAATTTTATCCGGTGGGTTTAGCTTTAAGCTTAGATAAACCCCCCAAGAGAATTTGCAAAATTAGTTTATATAGCCCTTAGGCATTAGGCAATGAACGTGTTTTGGTCAATAAGGGCACGCGGTTATCAGCGAGAGTCAACAGGGCGCGGAGGCGGGGCGCTGAGTTTTTTTTTCCTCCCTCCCTCCCCGAGTGCGAAATGTCCGAAAAAGCCCCCCCGCCGGGAAGAAGGGCTTTGCTAGAGTCACCGTCGGTGACCTCGGGGGAAGGAAGAAGGCTCGCGCTCGTTGGCCGACACCTACCCCCCCCCCCCCGGGGGTTAGGTATCCATCTGTCTGGCCCTGCTTCGCCGCGGTTAAAAAGTCCCGCTCCGTCCCAGTCGTTCCGCCCCCCAAAACAGAGACGCGGGGGTCAAGGTCAAGGTGCAAATCGGACATTTCGCACCGCCACCCCTATTTATGACGTCATAATTGGGCCCCCGTCCTGTATATTGGAAAAACGGAGGGGGGAAATGGATAAAGAGACGAAGCGTCGCCATCTTTCTTCGCTCCTTATCAACGCCGTCGTCGAAATCCAATTACTTGGATGCCTTATCCAGTCATCGACTCAATCTTCTTCACCCTCGGTGAAAGAGACGTTTTTTTCTTTTCTCTTCCTGGTAAAAAAACGAGGGCAAAGTCCTAGAGCGACGAATTACACCGTTACTCTCCTGATAAAACTTTATCATGCCTGATCTCCTATCAAGAAAGGAGCAGAAGTCTCGGTTAGACCCGTAAAATGGGTAGGTCGGGTCGGGTCGGGTCGAAAATGGTCCGACCAAAATGAACGCATTTACATACGCCCGACTCGACTCATACCCAACACATAGCCGACCCGACCTGTATTACTAAAACAATTTCATACTTACCCAAATCTATGAAACCTCGTGCCCAAACAGAGATGAGAGCACAAGGTGAGCAAGCACGAGATCGAATGAGGGTGGAGAGAGTGAAGAAACGGTCGTAAAAGTGGATCGAGTCTAAGTAAATTGTGAACTCATTTTTTTATCAATAATTGCGGACTTATTTAATATCCATATTATTTTGAGCTTCATCATTACAAATCCATTTATGATCTATTTACAGAGTATAATTAACTTACATAACAACTCATCCCACTAAATATATATTAAGAAATTAGTCTATGATCCAAATTGATCGATCTACACTCGGTGGCCTATGTAATGCTAGAGTGTCATTTACATTAGAAGATTAAAGTATCCAATTTGCTAACCCGACACGAGTTTTCTTCCCTAAAAGCATGTACAATTTTGATATGTTGGAAATACTCTTAACATTTTCCCAATTTGAGAAAAAAGAATATCACCAAGATTAAGAGAGAGAGAGAGAGAGTTAAACGTGAGTTTCCACATAAAAAACGCATACAATTCCTTCGCAGATTTCAAGCCGATTCGAAATTTCTAAAAAAAATCAAAATACATGAGTTGTAATATTTTCTTAAGCAAGAGGGTAAAAATAAAAGTCAATTCAGAGAGACTCGAGTAGCGTTGAAAGATAATATTTATGGACTTTTTACCGGTTGACGGTATTTATTTAATGTGAAATTTTCGAGCAGAGGGTCGAATCATATGCCAAATTTTTTTTTTCTTTCGAGCCAAAATGAAAATCCGACACCCACTTGGCTCATCTCGCACTCATTATCTTCATCAGGTCTACAAGTCATGCATGGACATACACCGGGGCAAGACGACATTGACGACAAGGAAACGGACACGGAAAGATGTCGTTTTACACGGGCCGAGCCCTGTCCCCCAAAGTATACATCGAACGCAAAAGAACAAGAGCGTCGCTTTGGGTGTTTTTCCTCATAGGGGATGGATGAATCGACCAGCGCACCTCGAATCGTCATTCTATGGGGAGCAAAATCAAGAAATTAACCTGCATCAGTCGTCCTCTCAATCGCCTCTTTCTTGGTGGGTCGTCAACAATAATTCATCATACTCGTAATAATTCAAGATGGATAATGACTTCCAT